GGCAAACTTCATAAAAACCATCTGCATGATAGCTTGAATATGCTGTATAAATTTGGTTGAGTTCGGTGAAGCCGTTCTCAAGTTATAATCTCACACCAAAAACGTGTACTTATTTTTATACATAAGATACATATGCCACGCCCCCTTTTCCAAATTTGGGCAAACTCCACATAAAATATCAGCATGATGACCCGAATATGCTATATAAATTTGGTTGAAGTCGGTGAAGCCGTTCTCAAGTTATAAGCTAACTCACTAATTTTTATATATAAAATAGAGGCCCCACGCCCCCTTTTCCGAATTCAAGCAAACGCCACATAAACCATCTGCATGATAGCCCGAATATGCCGCACAAATTTGATTGAATTCGGTGAAGCCGTTCTCAAGTTATGAGGTCACACCGAAAACGTGCACTTATTTTTATATATAAGATTATTTACCTCATTCCCTAAATTGTCATCCAAGTCGTTTTCGTATATCTCAAACAATCTTGTACTTTCTGCTTACATTTCTATATCACAGAGCGTGTCTAATTTGTTCAGGAACCAAAACGTTCATGGACAAGTTTGTAGGCCTCAATCCTCTCTTTCAGTTCCCAAGTGCGCCTTTTACAGGTATGAAGCTTGGGTTAGAAATTTATTCGATAGTTTTTAATGTCATCTAATTATTAAAAATATTATTATTTATTTTTGCTTTATTTTTACTTTATCTATTAGTAATTATTATTTTAAAAGAAAAAAAACCTACATATTTTTTAATTTAATTTAATTTTCAAACAACTTTTTGCTAATAGGCGACAGCATAACGCTAAGACCTCCTCGTTAGCAAATCTTTCAAATAGTGTTTCAAAAGGGCTTTCAAGATAAATAGTTACCAGAAATTACAATTGTCTTACGAAAGACCTTTGTCTTGGTGAGTTGAAAGACAGTTGCCAGTACTGCCCTGCTATACCGATTTCACACTACCTTATTTGAAAATTAGCCTTTAAAGTTCAATATAAGTTAGCCCAATGACAGAACATAAAGCAAGAAAGCTCTTTTATTAATTCACCGGCTGTTTGCGCCACTTGAACTACAGCCACCGTTTTTAATATTTTCTTTATTATTTAATACTTTTTATAAATCATGTATTTTTACAATTAAATAAAAAAAATTAACTACGCGTCTTGTTGAAAAGTCGAATGTTGACAAATTCACTGTTTTGACGAACGGGGCGAACACCAAATCGGCGCCAAAGTTGTATGTAGATAGGCCTTCTTACTCATAGAAAGTACAAAAGTTGCCCAAAGTAACACCTCAAATTTGTAATCACATTCGACGACAAACATTATACATTATACAGGGGCAGGGTAGTACATGCACATTAAGGCTGTTCTACTTTGTATAGGCAAATTTAAAAATGCGTTTTTTGTTGAGCGGCGACCGTATATTTTTTCCTTTTTATTTGAAAATTTTAAGTGAATCGGTTAGTGTTTGATAGAAGCGAAAATTGTTTAAGGTCCTCAAAACCCATGTTTCTTTTTAGCTTTATTAAAAAACACAGCCGTTTTTTATAAATTTCAATTGTGAACACAACAGCAGCAGTTTTGTAGCCCATTCAATTGTAATCCAATAAAGTGCAAGTTTCAAGTCATTAAAAATTCCCGTTAAATTTTTAGAATTTCATTTTCTTCCATATATGGTATGGGTAAGGCTTCCTCAAATGGGCCCCGAATTAACAAGATTAAAAGTCGAAAAGTACACTGTGTAAATTTTGTTGCATAATTCCAAATAGTTTTTTTTTAATGAACAATTGAAAATTTTTGCAGTGTTTTGGAAATTTTTATTTTTCTTTGAAAGTAAGTGTCCGAATGAAAAAATTTTTTTGGGTGCAGATTTAAAAAACATTAAACTACATATACCACGAAATTATTTGCGTTACAAAAAAAAATTTTTTGTTTGCTTTTGAATAATTTTTTTATGAAAAACTTAACATTTAAGCAAATTCTGTGCCTCGTGGATGAAAATTTTTAATAACAACTTCTGTAATAAACTTTTCTGCATTTATCTATGAAGACAAAATGCGTGCATTTCGATATACATAGTTTGGTCGGAATGAATTTTTATTTGCCAGCGTGCGCACCCGACTCCCGCGGGCATGCGAAATTCGAGCATTAGAAATAAAAGTGGAACG